TATCACAAAGCATCTCACTGGTGAGGTGATTTAAGGTAAACATACTAGCTCAAAATCTAAAACAAGGTCAGTAAAATAGCTTGATAGTTTAGGAATCATCCACTTCCTGAAAAACATCATTTGAAAATGTTTGAAAAAAAGAAAATCAAGTAATGACCAGTTTTCGAATGAGAACTAATTATCACTTCCAGTTTATTTCATTTCAATGTCAGAAAACGTCTTAAAAATTTTCCCCAGAATTTCTTGTCCATTACCTTATGTTAAGCTTTTACTGGTATATCGCACAATCGCCTTGCGAGATTAATTCATTTTCCAAGTGCATCGCGCATGAAAAGTTCTCAGAGTGTTGCCATTCGATAAAACAATATTTTATCTATCTTTCTAATCAGCCTGCAATTGCTAAATAGACAGTGATTTTAAAATAACAAACGCATTTTTTAAATTCTTAGTTTCTTTTTCTTAAAAATATATATAACTGATATAAAGTAAAATATGTTACTGTATTACTTAAAGATACTCGTATATTAGATATTTCTTACAGAGTGATCCTCTTTTTTTTTTTTTTTTTCGGAACGGGAATAGTTTAATTATTCATTCTCTCAGAATTTGCATTTAATAGAATTTTATAATAGTTTAAATACGAATTATTTATCAATAAATACTTCATGCTACTGTAATTTCATTCGGGTTCTCTTTTTTACATTAATAATAACAATAAGCAGATTTTAAAGAATTTCTTCACTGGTATTTTACACTTAGCGAAATCAATAACGTGTTTAAAACTTTATAGTTAATCATGCAGCATATAATTTATTTTTGTGTAGCATATAAATTTTGTGTAGCATATAAATTATATGCAAATTATACTAACGAATTACAACGGTTTCACCAGAAATAGCTAAAAATACGTATTCTGTTCCCCATTATTACTTTTTCTTACAAAGACATAAACCTTTAATAAATTTAATGACAACACTTTGCTAATGCAATCAGAGAGGAATACGAGAAGTAATACAGAAATTGAGGAAAGTTATGCATCTTTATTTCTAACTACAACAGCTGGTCGAAACCCAGAATATTCTAAATTTGGTACAATCAGATTAAGCTAAACTTTTTTATTGCGATAAAGGCTTCAAGGCCTAGCTGCCGTAAGAACAATGGTTTCACCAAGACCTCTGTAAGTGCCCCTTTTTCAGATTATACTACATGCGGGAGGAGAAGGGGGGGAACACAGTCAGCCCTATTCAATCTCTATCAGCCAAAGAAGAGGCGAATTGTCAGTATTCAGAGAACTTATTCACTCGGCCACAAGCATGCTATAATAAAAAATCACTATTTTAAACTAGCATGCTTGAAAGAGCTGCATTAATATTCCCGAGTAAATCAGTATTAAATATTCAACTAATTATTTTTCCCCCAGCACCTGATTAGTACTTACCCCTTCCGGTAAAATGACGAGTCTAGCTCGTCATTGGTTTTTCATTCCATATCGCACAATGACGAGCTGCACTCGTCATTGGTTTTTCATGCCATATCACACAATGACGAGCTACACTCGTCATGCATACTGTTGAATATGATAATTAATTTAGTTTAAAATTTCTAGTGTACTGAATTTGGCAACACTTTTTTTACTTGTGGAAATATCACAGATCCTATCACATACTGTTTACCGTTAGAATTTCTTGGTACAAGTCACGGCCGAATTGTTGTTAGTCTGTAAGATTTCATTATTGTAAAAATTTAGTGTGAGCATCGGTCAATATACTATGTTTCTGTAAAGGAAAAACGGTACTTTTCCGTTTGGCCGGCGCGCAAATTTCCATTTTCGCCGGCGCGAGCGTTAAAGTCGCCGAGTGTTGAGTTTCATGAAGTGTGTAAGATTTATTTATGGTTGGTGTGAAGAATTAACTTCAGTTAAATAGTGTGAAAAGTTCTTTCAATATTTGTTCCAAAATTTAATATTTAAATATTTTTTATTTATGCATTCAAAATAAAAAACCGGGGGATTTTCGTACCGGAAGGGGTTAAGTTACTGCCTTACCTTCCCACCATTTTATACTGATATCACCTTGTACCTTCATATAACTTTTGTTTGGGGGAAGGCGACGTATGGTCACGAAGAAAGCTTAAAATAGGCTTCAGAATTCATGAACTCAAACCCCCGAAGGATGCACCAAAGAGGGCTGCAAATCCCACGTTCTCACCATTAATTACGGATTAGTCTTGAAAAAAAATGTAGCCTGTTGAGTACTTTTGGAAATTTTAGTAAAAATAGTTTCTCTAAATAAACAAACAAGACCGTTTCTGGAATTATTATTTCTGTGTAACACACGCTAGATAAAATAACATATATTCTGAATATTTTTCTGTTTATATTAAGACTGCAGTTTTTTCTTTAAAGCATGTAAATTTAAAATCTGCAAAAGCTTTACTGCAAAATTCGTAAACAGTACTTTTAAACAGAAATCACATAAGTATCAATAACAAATGCCTGTTTTATTTTTTCAAACATTACTCTTGAAATACTCATTTACTGGCAGAATTTCTTACTGTAGAATATTGGGGAGAGCACCCTCGAGTACTTTGCCTGAATGAAGTAACCTAATTAACTGTAGAATGTATTTTCAGCTAACGAAATTAAAGCACTCAGTTTACAAGTAACCGTTGACATAACTCATTCAAATTTTTCAAAATGAAAACTCTAACTATATTATTGCTATAAAACTCTGTACGAAAAAATTTACAACGGGAGGGGGAAAAAAACAAAGCTCTATTTTTTTTTCATCGGTACAAAACCTTACATGCACGATTATAACTTAAGCAAGCTAGGCCAATCACTAATATTATGCTATCTGGGTCCGTCTTGACCGTCACAGCGTTTATCGCAGATGTATGGCCATATTGCATGAAGCACTAATGTATAAATCTTCTGACTTGCGGGATCGAGTGTCTTTTCAACAACTTATGATTTCATTTGAATAAAATTTTCCTTTTTATGAATTTGTACCCGCGGACAGTGGGTTAACAATCGAACTGTCTAGAAGACTAGTGTAACTGGAAGTACACTCTACGTGTATTCGAGAGGTCCAGAGTTCAATTCCCGGCGAAGGCAATGTACATTTTGCAAGTCTCCAGCATATATTTAAAAGAAAAACACTAATGACAGTGGCACCGAATTAAAAGATGATGGACGATAATTCATCACTACCACGATTTGGCGACTGGGTCCCTTCATTCCTAGTCGCCCTTAAGGGAGTATATAATGCTTTTTCTGCCTCCTTTTTGCATGCCTTCGCGCTGCAGCTGGAACCGCACTCGAAGCGCGTATTCGAGAGGTTCAAGGTTCGAGTCTCGACAAGGGAAATGAATCTTTTTCATGCCTCCAACATTAAAAACCCAATGACTCTACAACGAAATACATTAAAGTTGTAGAAAAACATTTTTATGTGAATTTTCAATCATCTAAGCAAGAAAAATGCAAAAATATGTTAAAAGACATAGATCACAACAATTATATTTATAGGAACTACAGACAGCTCCATAAAACGCATAATTGTAGTTTTCAATAAATTTCCAATTTCTCAAAAGGACACTACCTTCCATAAGCACCATCTTCCACGCTATTCTTAAAGCAACTTCCCTACTGACATTTTTTTAAATTTTCCATTTTTCCTAGACAGCAGGAGTCAGAATACAGAAAAGAGAGATCGGGGTTAAATAAAATAAAGAAGACCTTTGTTTCAGAAACAACTTTACTCAATCAATCAGAAGCATGCAAAAAATTAACCTTGAAATGGTATGGTACTGCTCCCAAGGACCCGAAAATCCTCTTTTATTTAATGATTTATTTTATTAACTTAAGAAACATCGTTGTACCTCGGTATCTCTCCATTTTCAAAGCTAATTAATATTAAGTGTATTTTTCCTTAAAAGTAAAAATATTAATCACTTCTACGAATAACTGCTTGTATATTTGAAAAACACTTGTAGAAAGGATAATTATAGTTATGATACATTCCAAAATAAATTATTCATAGAAAAGCACAAAACCTCTTAAGAATTTTTTATTTTAAGAAAATCATTCATTAAAGTTTCCGTATTTTGAACTGTAGAAAGCGAACAGTAATTAAACTTAAAAATTAAATTCTTGATTATTTTTAATTTTAGGGCAAGAGGTGCTCTGATACACAGGATGCTAAATTTTATGAAAAATGTCAACACGTGTTTAGAAATTTCGCTCCTAAATTTTGATTTTCCCATATACAAATTACGGTAAATGGAAGCTGGATTTTAGTATTTTTATTGGTTAAAAAATTCCAACAAATGGTCTGTCAAAAATATTATCAGCAGGTAAAATTTTCTCCCGTACGCCTCCAGCAGATAATACAGTTCCACCACCACCATAGTCACATTCATTAAGTAAAATAGTTTATTTCAGAGTGATTGTTGAAGGCCTAACAGTATTTGTTGGAACCTAACCAAATAATCACCAAGCTACCGAAATCTTAAAACAATATATCATATAACAATCTAATTCTATATCTAGTTTCCCTAATAGCATCAAAAAAATTATATTTTTTGGCTAAGATATATAAACTGGGTTTCGCACTGATCTTTAAGTAACATTTTAGGTTTCAGACTAGCAGTATCGAAGAGGGAAGTAATATAGCAGCTATTTCAGTTCGTGATACTGACAGAAGGTAAAAATAAAATAGAAAAATTGGATTAAGAAGTTTCGATTTTTTACATATATTAGTCACACTATCTGCGATAGTCATATATCTGCCAAAGTGATCCTTATTACTCTAAAATAAAGAAACATTAGAAAAAAAAGCATTAAGTTGGCAAAAGGCAGAAATTTTTAGTTTAAAAATTTCATCTAAGGTAATTGAAGTATTCTTGCTTGCAACTATAACATGTATTACATGCTTCTGGGGATAACATTTATTTTATTACGGACTGAAAAATCAGAAAAATAGAAAATAAAGAAAATTTACCATCTCATTACGGAATTTATTTTCTTTCACAGCCTACACGACTTCAACAGCGCACTATGTGGGGGCAATCCAAGTATATTTCCACACCCACTCTGTTCTTACGCATTGCCAACAGAAAAACTATAACTGCATGCAGATCTGAAAGATGAAATTTCATTTTCGAAACAACTGCGGTACTACTGCTAGCCGGAAATCTCTGGAATAAGACTGTGTCACCAGTTTTTTAAGATCAGTGAAAGATAATCCACTTCACCGTTTAAACAATCTTATCAGCACGAACGCGACGACTTCTCCTAATCTTATTTGATTTCAACATTTGTGACATCCCATTTATAAATGTTAAAAATAAGTAAGTACCAAGCATTAAAAGACAAAGGCTTGCAAATCATACTAAACGTTCAACTCTAAAAAGAAGTGGTTAGGAAGAAACTCGAACAGCTGCTTCCAGCTCCACAGGAGATGCAGATGTCATCCGGGAAAGAGGGACAGAGGAAAAAACACACGAAAAATACTCAGCTACCGGATATTCTAGTCATTCAAACATTTATAAAAAAGAACTCAACTGTACATAAAATGATCTACACTTTTTTATTCATTCTTCTTTACTTTACGCCGCTGCAAATTTAGTAAAAATTACTTCGGGTACATAACAAATATCCTGGAAACGTCAATAAAACATCCTGCTTCTCAGGTACCATTTTTTTAAACTCAACACTGCTTTCATTGTTAACCTGCGTGCACCGCGACACAAAACTGAGGAAGACAACCCTTCACGACCCATGCAATTAGGCTGCTGAAGCTCACAACAATGGCATTTTATTTTCGTTAACATTCAAACTTTTTCCTACAAAAAATTAAAGAATTCTCGTCACGTTTTAATTAGCTGCATTCCAAACTTTCTGAAAGAAATATATCCTCAACAGAAATTCTACAGGCGCACCAAACTAAAATTACGAGAGATGGGGAATGTGACAGAAATGACTTATAATTACTTTGCTCCAGTAAAGTTGCCGGTAACAATCTTTTGAAGCATAGAAATTTTTTATATGACATTATTTGGATCTAATTCACTGTTTTAGCTTAGTAAACATTTCACTACGGATAACACTGGTCCCCCAACGGCGTATAAAAGCACAAATGGCCACAAATAAGAGATACATAAAAATTTACTCCAGCAAATTTTAGAAAAAGGATTTTGCGTAAAGAAAATCCAAACTTTTTACTTCGAATAGGTATATGCTTAATTCCCTCAAAGAACAAAAGGATTGCCCGTCTTAGGAAGCATGTCTTAGTATGATTTTATACAAAAAACTGGTTAGTTGGTTGACTAATTGATTTTGGTAAAGCATTGATTACTATCTGCTTTAGGAGTGACGCATGCGTGGACGACCTTCTAAGCAGTATTGATCCTGATACACGTTACAAAGGTGGAAAAATCATTCTCTCAGACCTAAGCTGTCGCGAGTAAGATTGTGTTCCACTATGTTTGGGCACAATGTCGATGTTTTTCTACCTCTGAGCGATATCCAGAATACCGTACAAGAAACGCTGATAATCATCTTGTAGTGACCTCGACACAAAAAACTTCCTAAATCTGAATCTTCCTGAATCTCCTTTAGATCTTCAAAGACCATGCTTCACAAAGCTATGTGTGTGGTGTGTGTGTGTGTGATTATGGCAAAGCCTCGAAGGCTATCTGCCTAAGGAGAGGGATGCCTTCGTGGAGGACTTTCTAAAGGAACTGGCTCGTATACCCGTTACACATGGGGAAAAACACGAAAACCCTCATGCAGCCAGCCCGTTCGCGGGATTCGAACCTCGGATCGAACTACCAGTGTTCAGCGACTTTACCGCTTAGCCGCTGGTGGGCCTCACAAAGCTATGAACGTTTTCAAAATAATTAGACACTCTGGCCACCTAAAGAAGCGCAAAACCACGAAAGCCCCATGGAACCTAGGACGAAATATCAGAGTTGAGAAATATTACTTACTCAGTTATTTCTGTCTTTTTCACTCTGTCAACTCGAGCGGATTTACACTACACATGGGAGCAGCCACGCTGTTAGTCTTCTCTGTCGAGATCGCCATCGAATCAAAACTAATAACATTCAGTCATTTTAAATCGCTTTGTAACTGGTAAGTTCGCAAGAAATAACAGTATAATAATAGCAGTATCTCAAGTCTATGAATTCCTCTTTATTTGAAGCTAGGCCTATCCATGACTAAATACATACTGATAGTTCGTCTCGTTTTCCATTTCCTGTTAATAAAACGGCTTGCACGGCTTAGCATTCAAATATAAGCCAATTTCCCTTAGCACGTTCTTCACGAGGTTCTCTCTCTCTTTTTTTTATTTATTTATTTTTTTTTTTTTTTTAGGCAGGTATACCTCGACTGCTTTACCAATGTTAATTTCCACGTTTATTTGCTAATTATTGCGAAGGGCGAACACCTTGAAAAGAACTTCTCTTGCTATTTCTACAAATATGCAGATAATTAATAAAGAAACATCATACACGATAGTGCGCACATGGTATTTTTACGTTTCGATCTAAGATCGATTAAAAAGTGAAGAAAAGAAATAACAAGGGCCTTTGGAACTTGAGAAGGAAAAGAAAATGTGCTTCAAGAACCAGATAGCACGAATGCTGGCGGAGACTAATATCCTTGAAGTTTTTTTTAAAAAAATGAAGTAGCATAATTACGCAAGGATATGAATATCGGCCAGAAATGCAAAGGTTTACTGTTTGTTTGCCCGCATTAAAAAAAGATAATAATGGACATACGATAGAAGCTGAAGGTATCAGGATTCTAATAACCGCAATTTCTTCAGATGTCAGCTGCATCATGTCTGACGTTTATTGAATTTAATACATTTACCCGGAATACGAACTACTTACATGAAGAATTCTGCAAAAAGAAGAAATAAAATGTTTAAGTCTAACGCGAGATATTATTGTAAAATGATTATTCTGGTAACAGCGATTGAGAAAACTTATATGTTTAGCGCAGTTTTTCTAAAAATACTGGTTGGAAGCTTTAGAATTATAAGTGTTTTTATTCCCCATACAATATTCTGATAATTTACGACTTTTTAATTATCATTTAATGATAGGAAAGCACACTAGGACTCTGTGTATGAGGAAGAATATTTAGTTTAGTGATGATGGTAGGAAGTTTTAATACTTTCTCTTTCCCCCCCCCAAATGATAATGTGTGTTTACGCCGATATATGTCGCTCAACTTTTTTACAGTCATTAACTAGTTCCTTGCTTTTCTGTGCAATTCTCAGGTAAGCAGTTCAATGCTAAGCGCAGCAACATATTTGTACCATAATTTAAAATCGATTTTCCTCTTCGCGGTTGGCAGCACACATCACATTTCATGATTGTTTCCTCGTGAAAGAATGCGCATGCAACTAACTATATCTTCGCTAAAATCACTCAGGGATATAGAGACTGTTCAGCATTTCTAACAAACCATCTCCCCCTGTACAAATATATAACTACATAACCTTCAGCAAATATAGTTTCTTAACTTCTTTTAATTTAAAAATACCGCAATTTAACTTTACAAAATACCGCAATTTGATTTAACAGCTTTAGTTTTCTAATACTTCTTTCTAGGACTTTTAGTTTCTTAGACATAGCCTGTTTCATTTTCTCTCATTTGTTCAAACTATTCAATGCATCTTTTCCATCATTTTTTTCTTTTTTTTAATCATAAAAAAGATTGAAATTAAGAATAAAGCGAAGGAAAGAAAAACGAAACAAGTAACATAAAGAAAAAAAAACCTGCAATAAAAATCTGGCATTACTTCAAATTCATATACGGCATATTCAAACATTTATCACTTGCATTAACAGATAATGTTAATAATACATTAAACTGCTGGTATCAGAAGTATTACGAAAGAGTATAAAATTAAGTAATCGTGACGTAGTATTATTCTTATTTTCACTATAACATGAACCTTGTTACTTTTTTCTCTCGAAATAAGCTTTCGTACATTCTGCTTGCATACGCTTTATTTCTTATACTTAATCATTAAGTTCGTAATATTCTTTCGAAGTCGTGCGCATACATCATCATCACTCCCTATCAAGGAATTTAAAGGAATGTTTGTTTTTGCGCTAAAAATGACTTTACAGAGAATAACTATAAATTCTTTCATTCGTGGACAAACAGCTGAAGAGGGGGGAAAATAAACAAACACTTCCCCCTCCCTTCTCCGAGATTGTATTTTGTCACCACTTGGAAAAATAACGAAATCTCTTAGAGATGACGGATGCACTCGGCAGAAAGAAAAAAGTCATTGAAAGATACCATTATGACAGGCAGCTAGAGGTGGAAAAAACATAATTATATATAAAATAATGACGACAGAAAAGTAGTGCTACATACTTAAAATGTCCAATAATGTTTATAGTGTTCATCAAAATTAAATAAAATTCGAATCTGAATTCTCAAAAAGTAAGCATTACAAAACATCTAGCATTAATATGAATTCTCAAAGAGTTAGCATTTTAAAGTTTTACTTGCAGTTTCAATTTAAAACCTCTGTTAAGATTCCGAAATATTTGATTGATATCAATACTTCACCGTAATAAAATTTAACTGGTACAGATTGTTCTACAAAATTCATATATCATGATTTTTTAGAATTTCCAAATTAGTAACTTGTGTTTAACAAGAGGTCAAAGTCCAAAGACCCACCCCAAAAATATATAATTATAATAAAAAGTGATTATAAATTAAAAACGGACATTTATTTTTTATGGCCTTATCAGACCTCACAATCTTGATTCATAAAGATACTTAATATCCTCGTACGGCTTGAGTAAAACTTGGGATCTGTTTGATTTTCCTTCTAATGGCTCATTCTAAACTTGTTTTTATTTACATACTTGCACACATATGTATACTCTCAATTTATTATTTCTTTACAACTAATTTTCTTATTTGAAAATTATTTTTAGATTTTTTATTTGCTATTTATCGATTATGGACAAAGACGCGACTGCTATTTGCCTAAGGAAGAATATCTTCGTGGAAGACTTTCTAAGAAAAACTGGCTGGTATTCATGTTATATAGAGAAAGGTTTCCAAATCCAGAA